TATGTTTTTATTGTGGGCTGTTGAAAACCCAATGCTTAGAAATTAACATTTGCACTTGTAGTTCATATAATAACAGAGTCAAACAACATGTGGCCATGGGATGGTAAGAGCTTTGGTTAGCTCTAAGCTCAGCTTTGGAACACTGTAGATGAGAGAACTTAGAGGCAAGAGACTCAGCTCCTCTGGTCTCAGCTCTATCACCTATAAAGCAGGAAGGGTCAGTAACACTCTATTTGTAAGAGTTGCTTCAAGGGGTTACTTGAATGCGTACAATGTACTTGCTCAAGGACTTGCTAGATGAATGTGAGCTCTGACTTGCATTCCTCCTCCCTCCAGTCTTCGTCTTACTTCCTCCTTTCTTTTACTTTCCCACCCATTCTTGTTCTTCTCCAAGCCAAGTAAAAATGCTGTGGGTTCTGCCTGTGAGACAACGTGCCGCAGGGCCCTGCGACTTACTTGTACATTGCTGGCATCTTATATGTGACCTTGGGCTCTACTGAAAGCCTCACCTATTTTCCTTGGGCTCTTGAAAATCAGATGTAGACAGTTTGCAAACTTCTGTATTGTCTTTGCTTCTCTCACCATTGCTTCATCTTCTACCACTTCTGGTTGTCTCCTTGATGTGAGAGTAGGTTCTCTACTGGACTCAATATGACCACCCCACAGAGGACTCTCCCTGGCTGTCATCCCTCCCACTCTTTCTAGAACCTTAAAAATGTTCCAGATAATAGACAGACTGGCTTCCTCATGCACTGCCTAAAAGGATGAATGAAGTGATGTAACTCCCTCTGAACATAAACTTTAACCACAAGAAACACAAAGATGGTGAGAGTGCATCCCTTCCTTCCCTTTTCCTCTATATTCAGTGAAGCAGTATACTGCTCAGTAATACACCACGTTGTTTTGCTCTGTCTTTCTTCATTCCTTCAGGTCTTACTTCCACTCTTCTGTGTTTTTGCTTATCTGGGATTGAACCTCCCAATTAAGAAATGATACTGAAGGCCTGCATGATTTTTATGGTTCACGGAAACCTCTGTCAAAGAGACATCAGTGAACTGTGTTTCCCAGGACTTCCTGCCTACTCTCTTCTGAATTAGTTTGGCAAACTGGAATGAACTAATGGGTGACCAAGGGCAAGAAGACGTAAGCCAGAGTATCTGCACTCCCCATTCCTCTAGTAAGTGAGAGCATCTCAGATGTTCTAGTTTGCTTTCAAAACACTCTGACCAAAATCAACTTGGGGAGGAAAGGGTTTATTTGGCTTATGAGCACAGTCCATCATCAAGGGAAGCCAAGGCAGGAACTCAGGGCAGGAACCTGGAGCACAGACCATGAAGGATAGCTGCTTACTGGCTTGCTTCCCTGGCCCGTGCTCAGCCTGCGTTCTTATACGATATAGGCTCACCTTCCCGGGGTGGCACCACCCACAGTAGGCTGGGCCCTCCCTTGTCATTCAACAATAGAGAAAATGCCACACAGAAATGGCCACAGGCCAGTCCGATAGAGGCAATCCCCAGTTGAGGCTCCCTCTGCACAAGTGTGTCAAGTTGACAACTAAAGCTATCCAGCACATCAGCACAAGACTCAGACCTTCCTGCGTTCTCACTGCTGTTCATCTCTCAGTTGCCATGGTCCCCCTTCATATTTATGACTTTCATTTATTAAATGCCCCCTATTGAACTGCATGGCATAGTCTTTTTACCTGACCAGACACACTGTATAACATGTAACAATAAAGTATGTTTTATTTACCTAGACTGGGATTTCCTCTCCCAATAAAGCATCAACACCATAAGATATTACTTAAATAAGTTATGCAGTTCTAAAAACAAGTAATGGGAAAACTGAGTTCTTAACAGCTTCAGAAATAATTATCATAATAAAGTTTTATGGATTCTCAGAAAGGACATCAAATTATGATGTTAGCATTTAAATGTCATTTGACATTTACAATAGATAGTCTTTTCTTGAAGGCTTTACTTCCTAGTTAATACAAAAGCATGACCTATAGTCCTTGGCAAGCTTATACTCTGCTGTCTTCATCCAGGCTACTGAGATCTGGCTCTCTCATTATGGGCCTGGTAGGTGGCAAATTAGTGGCATTAGAGTTTAAGTGATGTTATTTGGTAATGGGAGTCAGATTTCATTTGTTTCTCTACCTCCCAAGGTGTTTCTGAGAAATAAACACCCCATCTCCTCCAAGTGATGTTAAGAACAGGAGTATTTTTCTCATGCAGGGTACAGAATATTTCTAAAATTGGCCCCCAAGAGATTTGCATTTATCATGAGTACTGTGTAATGGCTCAGCAGTCATTACTGGGATTTCCTTTGATAACACCGTAGAAGCATAACACAGAGAGATGCATGCAGAGTTTTGCCTCTGAACCTGAGGAGAAAAGGGGCCTCTCTGTCAGAATGTGCAGGTGGGAATTCACATGATGTGTGAACACCCAGTCACAACCTGGCAAAGACAGAGTGTCAAGAGGGATGTTGCAGGAGCTGGAGTACAGTGAATGCTTGGGGAAAATTTTTTTCCTGCCATTTTTTTCCCCACCCTATATCCTGAAAAGTGAAAAATCATTCCATAAGCTGTTTTGCAGTGATTGACTGCATAGCTTAGTGGTCACACCCAGACTTGAAAAAAGTCAGAGACATGGAGCAGGGCTTCTATGTTCTCCCTATGCGTGACTTCAGTTATTCATGTGCTATCTTTTTTTCCCTATATATTAACAAAATACAATAGGCATCCATCCATTGGTCCAGCATATCAAGGGGAAGTTTGCTGCCTCTGGATTTCTGAGGACATACTCCTGTGTACCACTAGATGGCCTCGTGTGAAAGAATTCCATCTGGACAAGAAGAAATGGATGCTCAGGGAAAAGCAGAACTGTTAGCTCATGCACACTGGTTTGCCTGGAGTTACTCTTGTAAGACTGAAATACTGCATAGGTTGAAAGCTAACATTATCTCCTCTGCTCCACATACCCAGCTCATGTGAAGAATTCTTGGGCAAATGTTCCTACAGTCCACTGAATTAGTTCATATTCTATTGCAAAAACAAAATACCAGAGGCTGGGGAATTTATAGATAAGAGACATTTATATGGTTTTGATGAGCGAAAGCCCAAGGTTGGTCAGCCCAACTTGGTTACTCATGAGGGCTTCTTTAGACTGTATCACAAGAAAGAGAAGAAAGGGAAAGGTAATTGATTGCATGCAAAAGGATTTAAGTGTACGGGTGACTTCATTTTATAGCAAACTACTGTCATGAGAGTTCACTGCATGACAAAAATGACAAATTATTAATCTCTTTTGAGGGTGATGCCACCAATGGCCTAAATACCTCCCAATAGGCCCCACCTCTTCTACGTCTCACCACCTCTCAACATTTTCACACTGAGGACCAAGTTTTCAACACACACATCTTTGGGGAACACACTGAAACACCACCATCCACAACTCAGGGGTTAAATGTGGCCATAGTGGCCATGGTAAGAGTCCATTGGCATCCTGTCCTAAATGGTTAGCTAGTTGTCATGAGCATAATCAGTTTTAATGTAACTTCTGCAGTGAAGGTACAAGATATTTACAACTACAGTCAACCTCAGAAGTTCATATTTTTCTTAAAGTGACTCAAACTACCAGGAAGGGTCTTATCTGTTGTCCAGTGCTCTCTCCTAGGTTCCAATTCTGTCTTTCCTAGTGAGTTGAGATAAGGCTTCTCAAGTCACCATAGTACAACTTCAGTTAGGCTCTGCTTCAGAAGCCGTAAGCACACTGAGTGTCCCTAAGTATGCTTCAGACCTCCTTTGCTTGGGGGGGGGGTCTGCTGTTCCCAGTAGGAATGGCAAAGCAGCACAGTTGCACTAGGAGGGGGCCAGAGCCTCACACAAGATCGTCTCTAGCCCCAGCTGTGTCGTGCGACATTTACATGACAGCCCGTCTGCCTCCTGAGGTGAATCACAGAAAATTAGAGATGAGCAAGGCCTATTAGTTCATCTGATCTGAAAGCTTGCCAGCTCACGGTCCCGCCCCTATGCTTGGTTTCCTTGTACATCATCCAGCAAGACTGTGACTAGCCTAGGACACAGACTGATGATTCCCAGACTCCTTCACTGAGCATTCCTCCCGGCCGTTTAGCAGAGGCAGTGTTTGGCATTCATTTACTCTAACTTTCTGTATACAGTAGTGTTAGAGTTATTTACTTCTCCTCCCCTGGAAGCCCCTGGATATAATTAAAAATTTGTTAGAAAAAAAATGCCCATTTCAGAACAATCAAGGTACTCGGAAGAGAAAAGGGAAATGCTGAGCAAAGTTTCTGTTTTGTTTTTCTTTATTTCAACTGTTACCTTAGCACTGTGCTTAGCATTGTTCAGTTTTGCTTTCTTTAACAGTAACTAGAACTATGACTAAGTGATATTACTGTTCTTTATATACACACGTTAGTTTCTGAATTTTTAATGTTAGAACAATTGACAAAATGTTGTATCTTCAAGTTGGGCAACAGAGATTCACTATATGTACACACAATGTAATGCTTCGCCATAAGGTTCATTAACATATCATCACCATAGCCTGAGCTATGGATTAGAGCCCCAAAGCATTCCTCTGTAATAGTATCACTGGATTCCACACTTACCTCTGTTTCAATTTTTAATACTATTATTCATCTTGCTGCCTACATTATATATAAGTTCCCAGCCTATCACTGCAATTAAAACATTCTTCAAATATTTGGTTAATTTGACCTATTTCTTAACCTAATAGCTATGTATCCATCTAAATATCTAATACGATCTAAATGCCCATCTAAATATCTAAGCACCTATATCCTAACCTAATAGATCTCAACCTTTTCAGTTTTAGATAAACATATGGGTCAAAACAGTACCCTCATGCGCCCTTTCGGATGGTCTTGCTTCACAATAACCATTTTTTCCTTATTACTACACAGGTAGGGGTCACTTTGTAATAACGTCCAGGAATGTATTTGTGGGTTACCTTAATCTGACCCTTCAAGCAAGGCTCACTGCACACAGACCGGACCACTCCACTCTTGTTCATCTGGATTTTGTAGTCATCGATGTTCAGCACGCCTTCATGCCAGGTTCCCACGTGGACATAGTCATAACGATTATCTTCTGTATACTGTAGATTCATGATGTCATACCTATAAAGAGAAGTCAGTTTTATTGGGTATGGTCATGATGGAGGAAACAAAGAAACTTTGTAAATAGATTTTAATGTAGAGAAGACAGAAGGCTTCATCCCTCAGTCATAAACAATCCTCTGGGATTCTTACATTTGCTTTCTATCATAATCCACATGGTATTTTGCCTAAGGTCTATGCTTGGCTTCTTACTGGATCTGCGGAGGGATTATTTTGTGCGATGCCCACATATAATGTTCACCCTCCCAGACTAGAATATGTCAGGACCTCTTGCGCATTATGTTTGACCTGATAACTCGATGGCAATTAACCAGCATATATTCTTCTTCCAAGACTGTGTTCTGCCTTTTCCCCTCCCCATGTTCCTGCTTCATCCATTCTGGATCACTCTCTCTTTGAGCCTGAGTCAGATTCATCATCTTTCTCTGCCCCATGCCCTGGAAAGTTATTCTCAATAAGTCTACACCGGTTTCTGAAATCTATTGGTTATATCTGGCCTAATTTATCTAGACAACAAGTATCCATTTATTGGCATTTTTTGGCTGTTCTTAATGTGTAAAAGTATCCTGTCACCCATAGGGTAGCTCAGGACTTTTCCGCATCTGGATTCTGACAGTTTCTACAAACAGAAGACGCCTAAAAGAAAAGGCAACTTGTAGAGAATCAAGGAAGCTCCCCTTGCCTGGGGAGAAAACTTACAGGGTATGCTTGCCACTCATTATTCATATTTTTGGTCTTCCGGTTTTTGGCTTATAGTTACTATGGTCCTTGGTGCTGAGACATATCAGAATATTTCAGAGTAGCCCTGGGTGATAGTCAGTAGGCAGTAATTGTGAACTTCCAGCTCACATGCATCAGGGAGCAATGACTGCAATGTCCAACTCCATCCAATACCTTTACATTTTGAACTCACTGTGAACCTGTTGTGCATGTTTGATATGAGCAGTTTTGGGGGTGCTGTTTCCATTAATATTTGTATTTTATTCCATGTTAGAATATGGTACTTTCTTACAAGCTTTCAATGAAGGCTTTGCTGTGCTACCAGCTCTGAAATATCTTCTTCCAATACATCACTTTCCTCAGACTTTCATTAGCACCTCTTCCTGCTCTTTCATAAAGGAAATCAATTCACACTTCATTAGCATTTAGAAACTGAAATTTTCACAATATTTTCCTATGTAAACACTTTTTTTTCAGTTCCAAGTGCTGGAGGTTAAAACAAAAAGAACACTTCAAAGCTGTCAGGGTAAGAATGCTGACTGACTAAGGAGAGTCTCGGGGCACTGGCATGTTAGTCAACTCAGCTCCGTTTTTTGTTTTGCTTTTTCTTGACCTCAGGGATCTTTCCTGAGGTTGTATTTTATTTGGAATATCCTCAGGTTATAAATTACATGCTCAGAATCTTCTCAGTGCATTCAGTTTATGTTACATGATGATTGAATAAAATTGTTACAGGATGGACCAAAAGCCTAAGTGATGCTATAACAGGATCTGGAAGCCAAAAGGAGGTGGAGAGAAAAGGGATTGGACAGATTAAGTGGACGCATTTCAAGTAGGGGAAATGTCCCTGAAAGGGGACCCAAAGGAACACTCATCATTTTAATATGTAATTAAAATGGGAGAAATAGAAGTTAATGTTGCTCATTTATGTTTTGGATGCATTAGAAATAGAAACAGAGGAAGGAAATGTGTGTTTGTGGAGTGCAAAAACTATCTGGCCCGTGCTAATCACTAAGCAAATTGTGTATGTGTTTTGGGGATTT